AGGCTACATTTATCCAAAGTATTTGATGCTTTCAAGACTCTTATAATTAATTTATTTTTGATAAGAAACTTACTAAAACCTTTCATATTCAACATATAGCTGATCTAGTTTTATACAATATGCTATAGTTACCTAACACTTACAGTCATAAGAGTTATCTGTTAACTACTATATTACATTATTTTTATTCTTGTAAAGTTTACTAAAACTCTAATATTTATTATCATAATGTTTTCTCTATTATTCTTTGCTAACTACTACTTAGAACTGACAAAACTTTTTCAACTTTCAATTCAGATAGTCTGGTATAGTATATATATGTATTCTTTTTCTTTAATGATTCTAGCAGTCTAGTTGATCATGTGCTTCTCTATACATCTTGTCATCTGGTTTATCTGCCTATCCTTTTGAAAATGTTTTATGTACTTTTATTAGTCTAACTATACTGTTAAAAGTTCATATTATTTCTTTACTTAGAAATTTCTAAGTAGACTTTCAACTTTTCAGTTTCTTAGTTTACTGCACTCATTGATCTTATCATAAGATTGCACCAAAGTTTTATGTGATACTGATTATTAATATTCTTCTATGTATGTATAATATTATACTTTATATAGATGTTTTAAGTTTCTATTTGAGATAGTGTAACTTAAGTTTACAAATACACTAATCCAATTGATCATTAAGAAACAGTTTGCCATAATATAAATTAATTTCTAAATTTCATCATAGGTAGAATTTGAACCTTAGACTTGCTACTTGAAGGATGACAACCCAACTACTATGCTAGGATCACTAATTTCCTAATTATGTTTTTATATAAGTATTGACAATATAAATTTTTTATAAAAAGAATTATATTAAAAAATAAAGATCTAAATCTGATGATAATAAAACTATTGAATTTATTATTAAATTTACTTATTTATATTAATTTAGAAGTATATATAATTAATTTAAATAATTTATTTAGTTACATTTATTTGTAAATAAAAAATTATTTAATATTGAAATTATTAAATTATTAAAATTTTAAATTACTTAATATTAAATTATAAATCATCTTTAATAAAATTCTAATTAAATTTGTATACTTAGTTATTAAATTTTTTGGTAATAATATAATAATTATTTTTTTTGCAAATTTTTGATTTGTGAATTCTTAACAAATTATATATTAATTCAGGCATAATTTTTATTTAATAACTATATATATAAATTTTATTTATATAATTTAATACTATATAAGATGCTTATTAGCAGCAATTACAATAAGAATATATTGATATATATTTTTAAAATTAAATATCAATTTTAAAGCACTTTTCTTAAAACAATTAAAAAGTTCTGACTTATTATTTAATAAAAGAATTTGCTTACATATATATCACTCTAATTCATACTATAAATGTTTAATAGAATTGAAATCAAGACTATATAAAAACTATAGAAGTTATATAATATAATTTTTATCAAACTATTTTTTGATAAATTTGGAAATATAAATTTAGTATTGTCATCTTAGAATACATAATTTTTTTTAACCAACTATGTTTATTAAATTGTTTAAATAAGATAAATAACAAGTTTTAAAACTTTTTATATAGTTTTTTGAATTTATTTTGTTATGAACCTAAACTAAAAATCCAAAACTATATATATTAAAATATTTCCAAACTATTATACTAATTTTTCTAATCTAAATATTAATCTAAATATTTAATATTATATTTTTTTTAATTTTTTTTAAGTATATTTATAACTATTCTCCCTAATACTTTAAACCTTAATTTATTATTCCAAATAATGTTTTCTTATCTTTTATTCCAATTTAATTTTATGCCTGTTCAATTCATACAACCATATAAGACTTCTCATTTATAAATAATTTTCTTAAACTAACCTAACCATAAAACTCTTCATTATAAAGATATCATTATATAGTTTATGTAAATACTTTTATAGAAGTTATTTTAAAGAATTTGTTTATCAAAACATTTAATATAATCTTTTTATTCTTTTTTAAAATATAGATTAAGTGTCAAACATCATGTTCAGTTACTTTAAAAGATCATTTAGGATGAGGTAAAAATACAATTTTCTCAGTCTTTCTTAGTATGTTATTATATCATTAATGATGCTTTTAAGAAGTTTTAGAGTCTCTATGATTCTTATTTGTTTCACACTGATTTTTCAAACATCAATAATTTGTTTGCATTTTTCATTAATAAGCTGTTTTCTTTGTTTCATAGTAAAAAAAAAATCAAAAAAAAATAAACATACTAGTGGATTTGAATAAAACTGTAAAAAAAATTTTTGGAAAACAAGTATAATAATTTTTAAGGAAAATTTATTTGTCAACAATAAGTTATATGAATGATCATCAATTTTGAAAAATCTGATGATTTATGTTAAGGGAGTGTATCAACAATATGTAATGATGGATTCAAAATTATGCAAACTTTTTGTTCAAATAAATAATCAGTGTCATAGTCTCTTGGAAGTGCATTAAAAATAAAATCTACAAGATTTTCTGGTGCAAGTTGCATTTTCTTAATTAGTTCTTCTAATTTTATTTCGATTTTCATTTTTTTTCATTTATTATTAATGAAAGTTGGTTACGACAATCAATGCATGTTTTCAGAATAGTGTTTATTGGATTTTACGCTTTTAAAAGAGTCATTTGGTTTGTCAAGACCACAATGATCGCATTTCATTTTACAGTAGAGACAGTGCACAATCCAAAGTGAATCCCTCTCGCCTGTGATCAATCACAAATTAAATTATTTATGTTGAATTCAATTGTGATGGATATAATCCCTCACCAGTTTTAATATACGTGTAACATCAACGGTCTCAGCTGTTATTTCATTTTGAAGAATCGAAGAAAAAATCACTTGCTAAATCAATTACTAAATATCAACATTCAAATCATGAATTGATACTATTGCGTTTTCGAAACTTTCTTGGGTGGCAATTTTACCCTGGTCGTGGAATTACCGCCCTAGTACGTACCTTCCCCAGTATCGCTACCAAAAAAGTACGGGCATAGAAGGTCCCGATAAAATCATCTTATTAATAAGCTAATTTTTTTATTTTTGACGATGGAATCCGACAACTCTAATGAAACCTTCTATATGGTCTTTTTTTTACTTTATTATGGTTGGTTTTCGTTTTTTTAAAAAGTACTCTAAACTTTATAAATAATGTAAAAAATTAAATTAAATTTATTAGCCAATTAGACGAACTTCAGCCTCTGAACGGCACGTGACTTTTTTTGTGGCATCCGACTAGATCTTAAGTTCGTTCAAGTTAAGGTTATTGCTTACTATATGGTTAGGTGCCGGTACATATAGTAGTAAATCGCCAAATGAAAACTTTTTGTTAGAGCAATAAAGTGGTTTCCTATGTAGATCTTTGAGTTATAAGCCATTTTTGACAAAACGAACGGTTGTTTTGAATTTTTCTGATTGTGCAACGTTACCAATGTTTAAATAAAAAAAATTGCCAATAATATTAACTTATACACGTGATGCTATCCGATAAATTGAATTAAAGTAAAGTTAGCCAATAAAATTTCACATACTGTTTGTTTAACTTCTTAAGAACAGCGATAATTAATAACTATGAAGTGTTTGTAGGACTGAAGCCATGCATTTAGTGCATTAATTCTGTTAAGCTTAATAAGAAAATGGCGGAGTAAGTACAGTAACATATGCATTATCATCAATGACTGTGCTTTCGACTGGATTTTTTCATGCTTCTCTTCCAATTTTTGATCCGCAAAATAATCATAATTGCATAAACTCCTAAGAGTAAGGCTCGCTCCTCTCTGATCAATACTTTAATTTGATTGGGTATAATGTGTTTCACGTGACAATCCATCATTTGTCAAATAAAATTTTATTCCATTTAAATTTTTTTGACCAATTGGAATGATCCAAATGAGGTCCATTCCCATTTACAACTATGACTTGTGACCAATTGTAATGGAATTTGGAATCTCAGGTTAGGTTGCATTTCTATATAAAATAAATTCGCATTTCTATATAAAATAAATTCTATAATCTGATTGATTCGTATAATTAAACTGACCAATCAGATTCTTTACCGAATTCATTAAGAAAGGAATTAAATTAAATAAATGTATCGGCAAATAATTTAAACTCTATATGTAAATGATCTTGGTGGTTACTAGAAACGGTTGGACAGATAATTGACATTAGTGGCGTAACCTGTCGCGGAGTACGTACAACGTGCACGGTAATTTAGTTCATGTGAATGTCAGAGTATATATCAAAGAATTTCATGTGATCTCAACATTTTTCTGCCACCATTAATCTACATTGTATAATGACTTAAGCTAGCAGAATTGTTTATGTTGGCGATTAATTGTATAGCCTAATTGCGTTATCCAAAGAGTTAATTTGGAATTAAGTTTTCATAAGCGTTTTAGCGTTAGCAAGGTTACAGAGTCGGGTCTGAGACTTGGTACGTTTCCGTGAAACGTTGACTTTACAAAAATAGACAAAAATAAAATCGCCGTAAAATATCAGATATGTACGTACTGTACGTACATACCAGTATATGAAATGAAGATAACGATAGGCGTATATTCCAAAAATTACTTTTGATAATCGACTAGTCCATAACGATAAGTTTACACTAAGTTTCTTTTTATTTGTATATTTTGACACCAAAATAAAAAAACTTGATTTAGATGGTCCATTTTATTTTTAATATATGCCAGGTATCTGTTTGAGCTTAATCTACTGACGGACATTATTTTGAATGTTAAAAATTAGCTTGAACATGTTAAAAGTTGCAAAAAACAAAAGTAGTTCTATTAAAAAAGAAAAAAACCGATTAGTTTGCTAAAATTGCATTTTATTAATTAGAATTCTCTTAGTAGATTAGATTACAGATAAATAATAAGAGTTTTACATCCCTAAAGTAAAAGTATCGGTTTATATATACGTCCATACAAATTCCTAATTTTTATGGAGCAATATAATTATACACAAAGTACTCAAGAACAAAATTATAGTGATTATGACGATAGTTCCACGTCTATTGATGTAGAACATGAACATCCTAAACGTCATGTTAATATAAAAAATTTAGTGTTAGAATTGCCTATGCCTTCAGATTTACTTGGAAACATCTCTAGAAATGATTTAAAAGAATTTACACATGCGCGGTATATCGCATGTACAAGTGAACCTGAAAATTTTGAGGAAAATGGATTTACTCTTCGCCAAATAGAAACAAATCCTCCAAGACAAACAGAATTATTTATTATGATACCCATGTGTAATGTAAGGCAATTAATCATATTATTTTTAATTGCGGAAATATTATAAATATAATATACATGTATATGTATCTGGCAATAGGAAGATAAAGTTCTGTTATCCCGCACTTTTCATGGAGTCGTGAAAAATATTACTCATCTTTGCGCTCGTAAAAGATCTAAATTTTGGGTATACGCGGTTCATTATTTTTGTGTTATATAAAATTGCCTATAAAATTTTAATTCAATATATTCTATTCGAAAATCTTTAAGGATAAAGACGGGTGGAAGAAAGTTGTTGTATGCATAGTTGCTGATGGTCGTGAAAATATTGAGAAAAGCTCTTTAGCTTACTTAGCAGCTCTCTGTGTCTATCAAGACGGTGTTGTAGTAGGAAAAGTAAAGGACGACACTGTAAATGCACATATATTTGAGTATACAACACAGATTTCAATCGATCATTCTATGAATATTAAAACAGGAAAAGACACTGAAGTTGTTCCAATCCAGATACTCTTTTGTATTAAAGAGAAGGAAACTAAAAAAATCAATTCTTATCGATGGTTTTTTAATGCCTTTTGTCCAGTTCTTAGACCTAATATATGTATACTTATTGATGTTGGCACTGAACCAGGTTAGAGAATATTTATTTTTCTTTTTATCTAATAGATTAATTAATGATCACTGTTTAAGAGTATTGTTTTTCTGATCATGCGACGAAATTGGTCTTGATAGATTATTCGTAAACCATTTTGTAGATTAAAAGAATTTAAATAATTTCATTATAATTATTATCTTAAAATAGTTTACATTTATTATTATTATTTTTATTTTTAAAGGCTCTAGATCCATTTATAATTTATGGAAGGCTTTCTATGTAGACCCAAATATTGCAGGCGCTTGTGGCGAAATAGTTGTAGAAAAAGGTAAAGGTTATATTAAACTATTGAATCCAATCGTGGCCGCCCAAAATTTTGAATATAAAATGACCAACATTCTGGATAAGCCATTTGAATCTGTGTTTGGATATATTACTACTTTACCTGAGGCTTTTTCTGCATATCGGTATATTGCTCTACAGAATACTATTAATGATAAGGGGGAGATCGAAGGTCCTCTGGCATCTTATTTTAAAGGTGAAATTAGCAATGTAAAAAAGGGGAGAAACATTTTCTCTGCTAATATGTATCTTACTAGAGATCGTATTCTTTGTTTGGAGTTGGTTACTAAACGCGGATGTTCTTGGTTATTACATTACGTTAAATCATCCAAGGCTGAAATCAATGTACCTGAAGATATTTCTGGGCTAATTAACCAGCGAATACGTTGGTTAAACGGTTCATTTTTCGCTAGCTTTTATGCCATTGTACATTTTTATTATATTTGGAGAAGTAATCACTCTTTTGGTCGTAAGCTATTTTTGCTTATTGAAATGCTATTTCAAGCATATAAACTTGTTTTCTCATGGTTTTCCTTGGTAAATATGAATTATTTTGCTATTTGTTTATTTACTCTTGATTATATTTATTTGTCTTACATTTTAATTAATTTTTTTATAGGGAAATTTTTATTTGATATTCTATATTTTGGGTAGTGCCTTTTCAAATCCTCAAGTAATAGTAATTTCTACTCCCTGGAATCAATACGTTGGAACAAAAATATTCTTGGCTTTACAATATGCATTTCCTGGACTGATAATTGTGCAATTCATATTGGCTTTAATGTATAGATTTCAAAGGTAGATTACAATTTTTTTTGTCATTTTACATCTTGTTTAAAAAATGTTTACATTTTTTTGAATCAATTACTATTTAATAGTTCTAGGTATAACTACATATTAGCGATATTATTTGGCTTTATTATGATCTATATTTTACTTTCTGCTTTTTGGATCTCAATTAATGAGATCATGAATTTACTTAGAATAAATTCAGATAATTATAGTATAATATCTTTTCTTAACAACCATACTTTTAGAGACATTACCTTTTCTTTGGCTTTAACATATGTTTTGTACTTGATTGCGAGTTTCATAATGTTTGATCCATGGCATATGTTTACTTGTCTTTTACAATATATACTATTAATACCACTTTATATTATTATCTTGAATATTTACTCCTTTTGTAATATTCATCACGTCAGGTAATATAAATTTGAAGTTTTGCTTTTTAAAAATTATAGTACTAATTCATTTACTCTAATTTACAGTTGGAGAAAACAAGGTGATATTGAGGATGAAGAAAAGAAATTAGAGAAAACTGTCAATCATGGAACTACTCACGATGTAAACTCTGTATATAGAGATGCCATTCGAGCAATAAGACAGCAATCTTATAGAGAAAGATCTATAACGCAAGATAAATACGAAAGTCCTCGAAGAGATTTTCAATCGATAATGATTATGTTTTTTTGGTTATTTAGCAATTCTGCATTGGTAGCTCTTATCATAATTTTTGGTGACAAATTAGCAAAGGATATTTATATAGCAGTTATCCTTTGGTCTTTTACTGGATTAGTTGCCTTCAAAATTCTTGGTACATTAAAATATTTAATACTTAGATTATTTAAAGACTCAATAGTACGCAGTTGTAAACAACGATTGTAAATTTTTTTGTTATAAAAACTTGTATCAGTTTTTTTTTTTAAAGAAAAACCTGTATAGTTTGACATTTGTAATATTTCAAGATAGTTATTGTTATTATGTATAATAACATTTCTAATGCTGTATCATACACAAAAACAAATAAATAAATTTATATTATTACGATTTTTGATACAGCATATATAATTAAGTCATATAGTTATAATAATAATATAATAATTAAATATGATAGGAGTATCTTGAAAAAATAACATTAAATTTGATAAATTTAAATGAGTCTTAGTTAAATATAGGTGAAATTATTCATTGAAATTTCGAAGCTATTTGAGTAAAAAAAAGACCTTTATTTCAAAATTCAAATGGTTAGAAAAACCATTATATTATAAACTCATACAAATAATAATTAATAGACAAACAAATATTATCCGATAATGAACTATTTAAAATCTCACCAAGTTAGATATTAATTACTTTTGAAAAGGTAAATTATAAAAATTCAGTCTAGTTGGCGTAACTTCAGGTGAGGGGTATTTCTTGATGTTGCCTATAATATATATGATATATATCAATAAAGTTGTAATTAGTTGATATTAAAAAAACTTACGTAAATTGATTTCATAGAAGAAAGACTAGTTATTGATTAAATAAAAATTAACAATGATCTACCCTGTAATCCTACATTTTCGGAACCAACAAGGTTATGAAGTACATGATCGATACTCTTGAAATATTTAACAGTTTTAACGTGCAATTCAAGGGTAGCGTCTTCATCACAAACGATAAGGGCTTTAGGGTGTAATTGGATCGCTGAGACGGTCCACTATATGTAAGAAAGTAATTTAATTTTTAAATTTAAGCATTAAAGTATAAAAATAGATGCTTAACTACGTACCATATGATTAACACCTATATCAAGATAACAATTAAAATTAAAAACTTTCAAAGAATTGATCGAGTTACAAATTTAAAATTGTTTACCTTCTTCAATACATTTCGCTAAAGCTAGAGCTTTGTGAGCTCCTGTGATGATGATAGCAACTTCACGAGAATCCATTACGGTACTGATCACGTGATTACTTTAGCACGTGAACCAAACATTCTTATTAAATTTGAAATAAAACTCACCCCACACCAACAGTTAAAGCCATTCTTGGAACTTTACTAATATCACCATCAAAAAATCGAGAATTTGCTAGGATGGTTTCATAAGCCAAGGTTTTAACCCGGGTTCTTGAGGTCAACGAAGAACCAGGTTCATTAAAAGCAATATGACCATCAGGACCAATTCCTGCATTATGTGAACATTTTGTGTCAATTACATCAACATCAAATTTTCTAAACCAATAATATGAGCTTACCTCCTAAAAACAATTCAACACCACCGAAAGACTTAATTTTCTCTTCATATTTCCTGCATTCCTCTTCAAGATCATCAGCATTACCGTCGAGAATATGGACATTTTGAGGAAGAATGTCAATATGTTTAAAAAGATGGTGCCACATGAAAGAATGATAACTTTCAGGATGATCTCTGATATAATTAAGAAGTTATAAAGTTTTTTTTTTTTTTTTTTTTTATGATATATTTACGATAATTAATTTGTACAAAAACTACCTCGGTAAGCCAACATATTCATCCATGTTAAACGTAACAACATTCTTGAAACTTAGTTGACCGTTTTGATGATACTTGACCAAATTTTTGTAAACACCAACGGGAGAGGAACCAGTAGGCAGTCCAAGAACGAAGGGACGGTTAGTGGTTGGGTTAAATTCTATGATACGATCCCTGATATATGATGCTTTTTATAAAGTTATTGATATTTAATGAAAATAATGTTATAAATTCTTAATTCTTGCATCAATCAAAATCTTAAAATATCGATGATTTTGAATATCTTACCCATATACTCAGAAACTTGATCATAATCTTGACGAATAATAAGACGCATTTTTACTAATTTTTTTGTTTTTTTGAAAAGATTAAAAAAAAAAAAGATAGTGATTGATTTAAGTTTTAATAAATCGATTTAATACAATTTTCTAATGGTTAGTGCTTTTATAAACAAAATCAATAAAAAAAAACTTTCGTTAAAAACCGATTTATGGCAATTGATGAATGTGACGATTACTAAATTTAATCGGATAAACATGTAATCACCATAATGTCATGGTCTCGTGAACGTTCAACATTATTGTCGATTCGCACACATGTTTTAAGGATTGGGCGTCATTTCTCTTAAATTACCTGTTTAAATCTAATTGTAGTGTTCTGCGCCTTTTAACTTTACGATTCTTGTTAAAATTGATTTCAAATTGATCCGTATCTGTATGATAGATATATTTAATAGTGAAATGGTGATAGAATCCAATCATGTAAAATATTTTATCTTGATTGCTATTGACAAATTAATGTATTTTCGACGGAAATATTTTTTAAATCGCCAAAACACAACTCTTATAACGACTTGAAAAAGAGAAACAATTATAAATTTTACAGAAACAAAACTAACTGATAAATTTATAAAGCTCAGTCTAATGTATAAAGTTATCAATTTTTTAAAAAAATTTCCTGCAAGGGTTCTTAGTCAGTAATATATATATAGTCAATCATGATCAAAAGAAAGATTGAAACATTTCACATTCATTCGATATAAAACCTATAAAAGTATCCCACATTGCAAATTTCTTATTATGTTAAATGAATCATGACTTCTTTAATTCCTGTATCAGTATTTAACAGATTACCGTTATCCACTATTCCTCCATCAATTCAATCATTATGTCAAATGACTATACTTGTTGTTTTTATACCATTCATAATTACTATATCAGTCTGTCTTTCATTATGTGATATTGTAACTGGAATTTATGGTAAAAACAATAATCCACCTAATGCTAACGCTAAGGTTATTCTGATAACCGGAGCAAGGTAATAGATAACCTGTTTAGATTGTAGTACGTGATAATTCATTTAACCAACATCACTTAGCGTGACAATTGTAGCATATTATTTGTAAATTGTCACGATACGTGATGTCGGTAAAATAATATATTAATAGTATTAATATTGTTCAAATTCAGTTCTGGAATTGGTGCTGCTATCGCGCTAGAGTATGCAAAGCCTGGTGTAACTCTAGGGCTTCTAGGACGTAATGAAGGTTCGTAACAAATAGATATCGAGATTTAGAATAGTTTGGATTTTTTAAAATTAATACCTATTTGAATACTATATAGAACGGTTAAATCAAATATTCCAACGATGCAAAGACAAGGGTGCAGAATGTGTGATGTTAAAAGTAGATATTTCAAACACGATGGCTTTAATTAAGATGCTAGAATATTTCGACGATAAGCATCCAATAGATCTTTTATTCGCTAATGCTGGTAAGGTTCTAATTGCTTTCCAACTTTAATATCCAATATTAATATGTGACTATATATAAATTGATTTTCCATAGCTCAAGTTGGAGTTACTCGAGATGATAGCGATACTGTAGAATGGGAAGATGCATGGAAACGATTCATTGAAGTTAATTATATGGGCAATATTTGTACCGTAATGACAGTTTACAAAAGGATGAAAGAACGAAATTTCGGTCAAATTGCGAGTGAGTTATCACGTACATACATACTCATGTGTCTGGTATGAATTCATCACTTTGAAAACACATAATTAATAGTTTTTCACTTTTAATATAATTAGTCATTTCTTCAGCTGTTGGTTTCTTCGGACCGCCAAATATGTGTTGGTACAATTCTACAAAATGTGCACTTAATTCATTCGCACGAGACTTAAGATACATCGTTGAACCATATAATATTCGTGTCTCTCTTGTCACACCTGGTATAATTGCCTCAAACATGACTACGAACCCCGACCAACCTGTACCTTTTACGAACTCCAGTCTTGCAAATCCTAATGAGTTAGCGAAAGTTATCAAAAAACAATTAGAATCCAATGTTTTCTGTATCGCTTGGCCGTTTTTTCAAGTGTTGTTAGCTTGGTTAGGATCAACCTTCCCACCTAGGGTTTCGTTAATGGTTTCGTGGGCGTTCGGAAAATTATTTCAAATACGTGCAAATGATCTAGCATTAACTTGAATAAAATACTGTATATAAACTATTCATTATAATTAAATTATCAAATTTGAAAGATATCATCTCAAAATAACATCCAGGGTTATTATTTTGAAATGCACAATTTAAAGAGAGCTAGCCGAAAATTTTCAAAAACCCAAAATTATCGTTCGCATTCAACTAAATTATTCTTAGTTTTCTTTAAGTTGTATATCTAAATTAGCGCCCTTGGGCGTTATTTCCGAGATGACGATAATATGTCAGAAATACGTAATCATTCTAAAGTAGTGGTAACAATGGTAAACATTGGTAACACTGTAATATGACAATCCAAACTTATTATTACAATAATTATTTCAATATCACCATATCCAGAATTCAATAAATATATTTATGAAAGGGTGAAATCCGCGCAGAGATGATAACTTTCTTGATGCAGATCTATCCTTAATTAGGGTTATTTACTATTTTAGGTAGGATTTGCGTCAATAACGTAACTATTTCTGCGCGGGAAAAAAAAATTTTATTTATACGATACGTATCAAATAATTTTTAATCTTAGCAGAAATTAGTAATCAACATATAAAAGCGTTTGATTGGGGTTATGTATAAGTATAAAGTGTGTTTTTTTTTTATCTGAGCAAGACCTTATGAGATATTTCCGCACAAAGTGTTAACTATCCTTATTCAACACTAATAAATCCAAGAATCAAGCTATTGTGTTCGAATAGGTTGTACTACCTCTATTGTTATTACAGATTTACCTCCCAAGCAATCCACTATCTGATCTTCATGTTGATATGAAATTCGGTTCAGACTAAATTCAATAACTTCAAATAATCATATAATTGTTTAGAAAACTCTATTAATCTATATAAAGTATGCTCGTAAGTCTTGAACAGAAACAAAAAAAAAAGAGATAAGATGACCGAGCTACCATTAATGTCAAATTCTGAAAATGAACAAAATCGAGGACCAACAAATTTTGAGTCAATTAAGTACCAGGTATGATGTTATGGTGGACCAAATATGAGAGTTGATTTTTGTTGTTATTCAAAGTTTTAAAAAAATTTACTTAGAAAAATTTGTTTAATTTCTATTGACTCAACCCCATATGGAATGGTACCATACAAACCAAGTATCGAAGATAACGTGGATGGAACATGTTTCAGGTATTGTCCGTGAGTTTATTAGATATTGGCACACAGAATGATCATACATAAAATGGACTCTATTTTTAGGATTTATCCAGATGATTTTGCAAGTATACAATAAACATACATATTTGTCCTCCAAGAATAACATCTCAATATCGAAAGGTGCTTCAATTGGAAGGAAGTAATAATGCCTTAGTACAATCATAATACAGGTATATTTACAGCAACCTTTCATATTAATACGTATACGGTTTGAATTTATTGTATTATGATGTGATAAATATTATTTCTCAATTCGAATGCATTGTCTATATTCAGTGATCTTCGATATCGATATTCTTAATATAACAGGTCGAAACTTAGCCGATTTTTTTAGCATACAGAACACTTCGCAGCCCTTAACTCAGTTCTTTCTATTTGGTAAAAATTGTGAAATAATTAAATAATCTTATCTGTAAAATACATAAGGTGACATCTAGAATTTATATTAAACCAGTACTGTATTGTATAAAATAAAGACCTTGAAGATAATGTCATAGTTTTATGTTTGTATTATCTTTAAGATTTCTATAACAATATTGGCTTAACATAAATTGTGAGTGTTATCCAAATAAAAAAAACTTAATGTAAAACAAAGGAACATGTTTTGATAAAAAAATAGTAAAAGATCAAATATAAAATTATATTTAGAATTTTAATATATAAAAAAATAATTTAATTATACAGAATATTATTAAAATAATAGTTAAGATTAATAAAATTATTATAATTTTATTTCTTAAATTGTATTTTAGTCAAATTTGCCTGAAAAATTAAATTGTATTTAGTATTTTTTAAATATATAAAATAATAATTTATTAATAATATGAGGTATATATTGCTTATAAAATATATTCTTAAAAACATATTTTATAAACTTTATTATAAAAAATTTTTTAAAATATTAATAAATTTTTATGTATTAAAATTTTGAAGATTATATTTAAAAATTTTTACTATTAAAAATTTTTTAAATTTTTTAAGATTTATATGTTTTTAAAGTCAAAAAAAATTTTATACTTTGCACAAGTCTAAATTTTTATAAATAAATTACACAAAAATGTTACTAATAAAAATTGTTATTTAAGAATGATAACTTAGTATAGTAAATGGGCTGTCATTCTTCAAGTGGCAGGTCTAAGATTCAAATCTCACCTATGATAAAATTTGGTAATTAATTTGTATTATAAAAAACTGTCTTCTGTCAATCAGTTGGATTTAGGTATCTATAATCTTGAATATAACTAATCAAGTTCTACTTGTCATTAGGAGCTTAAGACATCTATATAAAGTGTAATGTTATACATACATAGCAAAATATTAATAATCAGTATTGTATAAAACTTTAGTACAAACTCACAATAAGACTACCAAATGTAAAAGACCAAGAAACTGAAAAGATAAAATTTTACTTAAAAATTTCTAAGTAAAGAAGTAGTACAAACCTTTGATAGTATTGTCAGACTGATAGAAGCCTAGAAAACCCTAATAAGAAATAAGACTGATATGCAACCAGATGACAAAATATGTAAAAGAGCATATAATCGATCAGGTTGCTGAAATTATTAGAGAAAAAGGATATCAAAAGATATATTATACTAGGTCATTTGAATTAGAAATCTAAGGAGTTGGTTAAATTTTGAGTTGGATAGTAAAAGAATGAAGAGAAGAAGTTAGAAAAATAAATATCAGGATTTAAGTAAACTTTACAAGAATAGAAATAGTATAATATCAAGTACTTCTGTAATTGCAAGTGTTAAATAACTATAGTATGTTACATAAAATTAAATAACTGTATATAGAACATGAAAGGCTCTAGTAATGATGTTTTTGAAAATATATTGCATAAAATAAGGTATAAGATCCTAAGAGTATAGATAAAAGTATTTAGACCTTCTTGACTAATATATATATTAGAGATGATCTAGTAATACAGTAAAAGAGATTGCAGTATAGAGGATTTAAATAAGTAATGTTTCTAGTTGAATTGCAGATATAGCAGCTAGTATAGAACTATTAACAGACTACTTAAATTAGACACTAAAAATATATGTATAATTAGTTGTACTCTCTAATGTAAAGTAACTTCTTTGAGACCTTGATCATGGAATTTTATATCCTAATTTACTGAATAAAGTCTTAGTTTCAAAAAAAACTAGTTTAATATTAAAAAAAAAAGGTATCCTTTATATAAATTAAAATATTGTATTAAGAACTATAAACTTAAAATTAAAATTTAAAAAGTTTACTAAAAATTTATAAATAATTTTTTTAATTAAAATTTTTTTTAAATTTGTTTATTTTTAGTTTATAAGCAAGAAGTATAATAATTTAGTAAAGTGAATAAGTTGTTAACTCTTCAAGTAGTAAGTTGTGAGTTCAAAACCTACTGATAGTAAAAATTTAAATAATCATCTATGTAATATTTATGTATTATGATAACAGTTTTTCTGTTGATTAGTTAAGATAAGATATCTGTAACTATGATCACACTAGTATGACTAGCAGGGCATAGATCATTTGTGTAATCTTGGTTATACAGAAGAATGCAAACTGATACCTGATGATGCAAATCTAAGATAAGTTCTTGTAGCTATATAAATCCATAGAACTAGGAAAAACCAAAGCCTATTTGAAAAGATTTGGGTAAAAAAGTAATACAGATCTTTGACAGTACTACTGTAAAGTTTAGATTTAGAAAATAGATATCAATATAAAGAAGCCAGATAGACAAAAACCTTAAAGTAAGAAGTATTACTAATCAGGCCATTAGAACTAAACCAAAAAAAGAATATTAGACTGGCTCAATATATCAAAAACAGATAATAATTCTATCAGGCTATCTGAATTAAAAGTCTGGAATCAAAGCAGAGGTAAATTATAAGTACTAAAGATATGCTATAAAGTAGATACTAGAGTTTAGATGAACTCTACAAGGGCTAGCCTTGTTAATATTTTATAAAATAGTTAGATAATTAACAAGAAGGCATTTTAGAGCCTTAAAATTAGATAATTTGCTCTAAAATATATAATAACTTAACAGATGTACAAAAGAGAAGACTAAATATTGAGTTAGATGACACTTAGTTGTATAAGAACTAAATGTTACTTATCTGGATACACTATAAGGATCAGAGTATTTAAATAAAAACTTTCTAGTAGTTTACAAGTATAATAGCTAGTATAAAACTCTCAGACAGACTACTTAAATAAATAACCAAAAGTTATATATGTGGCTTTTTTTTTTTTTTTTTTTTTTTTTTTTCCCTTAAGCAGTCACGGTAGTACTTTATTAAACCATTTGTAGCTACATTTGTAAATACAGAATATCATT